TGCAGAGAGGCCCCCGAAGCCCTCCAGAGCTGTCGGCCCACCCGAGGTCCCTCCCAGAAGCCACTCGGGGCCCCCTGACCCCATGCGCCTGTGCAACAGAGGTGTGAGTGCCCCCAGCCGCAGGACCTCCAAGATTCTTTCTAGAGGGCTGGGGAGGGGGAGGGCAGGCCTGTGGGCCCCACAGTGTCTGGCTGGGGAAGCTCAGAGGGGGCAGCCGCCATGGCGGGAAGTCAGGGTGGGCAGAGGAGCAGTGGCGCCAGGACCCCGGGGCTGTGCCGCCACCCCAGACCCTGAACAGTGGGCTAGTGTGTGGGCCTGGGGCTGAGGGCCCCGGCCGGGCTGGGTCTCGCTCCATAAACCCTGGCTGGCCGGAGCTGCAGACATCACAGTGTTGACACAGGGGTGATGTCACTGCCGGCCAATGGGGAGCCCCCCGGGGGCCCTGCTCGCGCCTTTCCGTGCTCCGAGGCCCCTTCCACACACGCCACATGCTCTGAATGCAGCCTGCATAAACCGGTTTTTCTAAATGTCCTTTGGGGCCCTGCTTCCCCGCTGGGCCCCATCTCCTGCTCATCCCACCCCACCCTTGGGCCTAGCCTGTGAGCCAAGTGGGAACAGGGAGTGGCGGAGAGCCCTGGGCCTGCCCGCTGTTGCAGCCATGTGGGCCCCAGACCCCCGCACCTCCACCCCGCCGGCCTCTCCTCCATCTGCCACAGCCCTAGCTGCCACCATGGCTCCGCACGGTCACCCCCCGGGCGTCTCTTTGGGAGAATGTTCCTCCTGGGAGTGCCCGGAGCCCCCTTTCTGCTCCTTGCTGTCCATCTCCGCTGTCCTGCCCTGCCCTGCTCCCTGGTCCATGCACTGAGAGCTGGCTACGCATCCTGCACACAGCCGGCGGCTCCCCCGGACAGGGCTGCTGGACCCCCGCGCCTCTGTGCCCCCAGGGCAGGCCCCCCCTCTCTGTTGAAGGTCAGCGTGTTCCCAGGCCTCCTAGCCACCTTTCTGCTCTTCTATTCCTGGGCCCGTTCTCCCCTCCCCCGGCTCCGGGGTGCGCTCTGCTGTGCGGCCCCCCACGCCAGGCCTCCGTGAAGCCCACTCCCGCAGCCTCAGAGCCTCGTGCCTCCTCAGACTTCCCCAGGCAGCCGGGTTTCTGCAGTGAGGGGCCCACCATCAACGTCCCCTACAGCCCTGCCAATCCTTCTCCCTGGGGGTCCACATGGCACCCCCTTCCCAGGAGGTTGCTCTGCACCCACTGCCGGGCCTCCCTGCCCAGGGGCTTGGCGCGTGCCCTCGAGCAGAGGCCCCTGGCAGGAGGGGGAGGAGCCTGCAGCTCCTGGCGCCGTGTGTGTTCACTGGTCCCAGCCCCAGCCCCGCGCCGCTCCCCGCGGACCCGGCCTCCCGCCTGTGTCCAGCCAGGTGTTGGGTGATGGAGCAGGGCTCCCTAAGGACAAGGAGCACAGTGTCTGCTTTCTTTGCAAGCACAGTGCTGACAAGGAACAGAATGCCCACAGCGACTGCTTCCAGGAAACGGCCACAGGGCGGGCGGGAGCCTGCGAGGAGAGCAGCCCCTTCCCAGCAACCCGGCCTGCAGGTGGGCTTCCAGGAAGGGGCCCTGCTGGCTTCCCTCAGCCCTGGAAAGCGGCCAAGCATGTCACTAGGAGCAGGCCAGGGAGTGGGGCGAAGGGGGGCGAAGGAGAAAGGAGAGGCCCGGAGGAGGGACGGAGGGATGTGGGGGCAGGCCTGGGCTTTGCAGCCTTAGGGGAGAGCAAGGCCGACCACAGCTCCGTTTTGAACCTTCCAATCCCCCTTTCAGGAAGTCACAGATCTCCACTCAGGTCTTTGGCTCTGTGGGGCTTAGCAGGCATCACACACACACATGTGCACACGCATACACGTGCACACACATGTACACATGCACACACACACACGCACACACATGCACACCCACAGGCACCTCCGTCTCGGGAGGCCATTCCCTGAGACCCAGCTGGGATCCAGGTTGAGGGGCTGGCGGCCTGCCTCCCCTGTTGGGAGGGCCGAGGAGGGCACCCACCTGGACCCACGGTGCCCTTAGCTCTGAGTGCTCAGATCCCACCCCCATCTCTAGAAAGAAGAAGACCATTTGTCTTCCTGGGAGCTGGGGGTGGGGTAGGGGCTGCCCTCCTCTGGGCTTCTATCAGGGTGCGTGGTAGTCAGACCCCAAAGTCACGTTCCCCTGTTTAAGGGACTTTATTCCCTTTGTCCAGTTGGAATTTTCAGCCTCATCAGTGGTGTACCACGTGCCCTGACTCTACCCATCCCAGCTGCCCCAACTCCCTGTCAGAAAACGTACTCCTAGGTCATGGAATTCATGCTGAGACACAATCCCACGCAAAGGCACAAGACACACACAGCCAGGCTCAAGGGTCCATTCTCCAGGGAACGTCACCCCGCGACGGGGCCCCGATCACACACACGCCACGAGGAGCGTCTCCGGGCTGGACGGGCGGTAGCAGCACGCGAGCCGCACCTCGAGGCCCCTTCTCTAGCGGGGTGACTTGGCTTTCACTCAGCATAAACTTGCCACCTAAACGTGTGGGTGGAGGGTTCAGGTGTGAAGACCCGGTGCCTAGCAGTGTTGGGAACATGGCTGGCAGCCTGGGCACTCTCAGGGTCTCCCCTAATGTTGAAAGTTCCTCCCTCCCAGATTTCCCCGCACCTTTGCAGCCAGCCACTGCCCCCACCTACCACCCCCATGTCAGGGTTCGGGGCTGAAATTCAAGGCCCCGTTTGCTCCTCTGCACCGAAGTCAGCACAGGGGTGTTTTGAAAGTGCCTTTGGGTGTCGGGGCGCCTGGAGCCTGTCTAACAACCTTCTGTAAGCCCCTTTTCTAAAAAGCAGGAAATCGGGTTGGGCCAAAGATAAACACACATTCCGACCTGGCAGGCAGCTCAGAGCTGGGGGCCCAGGCAGCCCCCTCCAGGGTGCGGCAGGAGGCTCCGAGGCAGAGCACCCGCTGCAGGGTCCTGGGCCTGGGGCTCCCTGCCTGTCACCTCACCCTGAGGTTTGGCCCCCAGAACGCTGCTCCCCCACCTCCTTGTCTCAGGGCCCAGGGCCCAGACCCCCTTCGGCACTCAGGGGCTACCCTGGGGACATCACCGGGAACTGCCCTGGGTTAAGGAGCAGTCCTTTCCTGTACAACTCCCAGGTGGAAACCCCAGAGTGAACGTGTGTCCTTCGTACACCCCTGGGCGCAGAACTGTGGTTGTAAGCAGCCTGTCCTCTCCAAGGGACCAGGAGGAGACAGCCCCTAGGAGCTGACGCAGGTGACCAATGCCTGGGATGGCCTGCCTTTCCCATGGCCCCAGTTCCCAATCGTCCTTCCCCAGGCGGGGATTTGAAGCGGGCAGTCTTCTGTGTTCCCCAGGTGAGGTTTTCTGGGTTCCCCTCTCCCCTCCCTACGGTTCTCCTGCCCGGACACCTGGGGAAGCCGGCTTTAATCTCTTGAGCCCCTCTTTGTAAACCTCCCGCAGAGCTGGATGTTTATAATAAAGGCCGTTTATAGACCTAACTCTTGACATGTAATGGACGTGTTACTTCATCCTGCCAGCAAAAACCCACTTGGGTAAGTCAAATTGGCCTGTAGGGTCAGGAAGATGAATGTGGCCTCACCCTGGGCTGGCCCCAGCGACCTCTGACCTCCTATGTGAGATGGCGGCAGCCCCAGGGGCACCATCCCGGAGGCTTTGAGAAACTCCCTGTCCTCTCCGGATGCCTGCATGCCTCCTGGGGGGTGACCGCCCCCGGGTTTTAGCACACAAGTGTGTTCCGGGAAACCCTGGGTCTCTGACAGACCCCAGGGCTCACAGCCGGGTGGGGAGGGCACAAGAGAGGGTGCAGGGGGGACACCAGACCCAAGGGGTGTGGGGAGCCACCCTGCTCTTCCGCCCAGGATACTGAGACCCCCAAGGCCGGCAGGGGAGGGGCGTCCCTAACCGCCTTCCTGTCTGTTCTTTGTCAGTCGGGGAGGAATTTTCCTGACAGCTCTGAGCACTGGGAATGGGGGTGGAGGGGAGGGGGGAAGGGGGAGGAATGGGGAGGTTGGGACCCCAGCCTTATTTCCAAAGGCTGCCCTGTGTTCCCAGCGCCTGTACAGTGAGGGCCCGGGAGCTGGGAGGCCTGGCTTAGGCAGCTCCTGGCCTCTGGCCACTGTGGGGACGCTGTCCCTGAACCCTGAGTGGGCTACCTTGGCACCCAGGGGGCAAACGCCTGCACATGGGGGTTCTTGGGGCTCCAGCAGCTAGACCCCGGTGAAAGACCCCGAGCGCCCCTCACCCTGGGCCCCCCGCCCCTCCTCCCTGTAGCACCGTCAACTCCTTCCTTCTTCCAGCCCCCACCCGCTGAGCACCTCCGTCCCCAGGCCACCTGCATACTGAGAAGCCCACCAGCTCCCACCCCCACCCACTGGCTCCCTGTGGGGGTCCGGCCCTCTGGGGTGGCCTTGGTTCCCACCCACAGGAGAAGGGGAGCAGGAAGGGGACAATGAATGTCTGTATGGGCTGGGGGTTCGGGACCCTGAGGGGTGGGGTCACCCAGAGCACCCTGTGGGCCTCCTGGAGCGGCCACAGCCAGCCCTTCCCCAGTCACCTAGCCCACACCTCAGGGGTCTGTGCCAGCACCGAGGTTCATTCTGATGGGACTTTGGGGTGGCAGGAGGAACTCACTGGGGGTGCCTGACCCCTGCCTCAGAACCCAGGACCCCTCTGCCAGCCCAGGCCCCACAGCCCCTCCCCCACTGTCCTGCCTGGTGCCCACCTGCCCCGCACCCCTGATGTCCACACCCCCTCTGCTCCCCCCACCTCAGGAGCCCTTCCCTGTGTGTGCTGTGCTGCACTTATCCCAGAATCCCCCACCCTGGAACCCCCACCCCTTTTCATGTGTGTCCCCTCCTCCTCCCCCCCCCAAGGCTGGCCTCCCCCACATCAGGCCCGCAGCCCAGATTCCAAAGACCCCGAGACAAGTTGATGTAACAGAGTTTATTGATAATGAGTCCAGGGCTCCTGCTGAAGCCCTGGTAGGGAGGGGCACGGAGCGAGATAGGGCGTAATGAAATGCTCCAGACTCGGTGAGGGTGGGCGAGGCCTCAGGCACACGACCCGCACCCGGTCCCCCGGCCCAGTTGGAGGGCGCCTGGGCCCCGGGCGGGCACTTGCCAAGGTGGCTCTCACTCACACACACACTCACACGGAGACTCAAGGCCGTCTACACAGCTCCAACCAGTGCAAACGACTTAGTGCAAATGAATTCAGAAGGGGCGGGGGACGGAGCTGGGAGGCTTCGAGTCTCTCAGGAAGAAAGACAGGAAAGGTCGAAGCAAAGAGATAGGAGGATGAAGAAAAAGAAGAGGGAGGTGGTGGGACGGGGTCATCCCGCTGGAGGAGCTCAGCGCTGGGATGACGTAGTGGCTGGTGGTCAACTGTCCACGGCAGGGGGTGGCCACGAAGATGGAGTCGCTGGCGGGGGGTGGGTGCTGCGGGCGCCGCTGTTCCGATGGCGTCTTTGGTGTTGGGTTGATGAGGTCTCGTTCCTTCAGCTTCACCTGCAGAGAGCGACATGTGGGTCAGGGGGGCAGGGTGCTGGGGGCCTGAGGGCTTTCAGGAGGAGTGCGGGTGCTCACCTTCTGGGGCCGATTCCTGAGTGAGGGTGTGCAGTGGTTTAAAGTGCAGTATTCCTGTTATCAGTGAGAGGTACTTGCAGACGTTTCCGGATTCAAAGGCCCAGGCGTGAGCTGGGTAGCACCATTTCTGTGGGTGGGGAAAGAGTGAGGTCCCACTGAGTTCCTGCAGCGTGACCCCCAACCCCCCCAATGGGTGTGGCAGGAGGCCCCTCACCTTGCATTGTGTGGGTTCTGGGAATCCAAAGACCGGCAGTAGTGTGCCGACCCCGTCGGGGAAGTCAAGGAAGAGACCCGCCTCTTGCCGCAGCCTGCTCCGCCAGCTGAAGATGTCCTGTAGAAGACAGAGGTGGGGGCAGTGAGATGGCGGCTCAGCCAGGCGGTCAGGGCAGGGCTGAGTCCTGAGCAGGGAGGGAGGACATGCTCACCAGGAAGGCCGGACGCGCCTCCTCTGTCCTCGCCGTCACTCCGGACCATGTCATGTCCCTCTCCGCACGTCCGCCGGACCTGGCGTCCTGGCCTTCGGTGGCTGGTGGGCTCGTCCACCCCAGCTGGAGACCTGGCTGTGGGGAGGACGAGAAAGGTGTTGGTGTGGGAAGGGCTGGGTGGAGACCGAGGCGGGCAGAGGAGGAAAAACTCACCCTTGTCTCCAGCCCGAACGCCGAGGCACCGATCCCTGCTCCATCGCCGCCCGCGAGGCCCGCCTTGGCCACGGGCTCTGGAGGCCAGTGCCCCAGGACCGCCGCCTGCTCTGCTCCTCGCCCTGCCTGTGCCCGCCTCCCTCCTGAGAACACTCATTCACTCCCCCCCGCCCGCCTCGCCTAGTCTGGTCTCGCCCCGTGCCCTTGACTCCCCTGGATGCTGAACTGTCTGTCAAGCCAGTCCCAGGGGCTGGGCGGTGAGGGCATACAGCGTCACCAAGTCCACTGTGAGCCCTCTCCGCACCAGACCCTGGGCCGCAGTGCCTCGTGGGAACGGCGCCCGCGGGCGGGGCCCCTGCAGCCTCCTCGCTGCGCAATGTCCCGGGACCCCCTCCCACGGCCGCTTTGCCCTCCTGGTGACATCCTGCTGCTGCTCCCTGAGCACTGCCTGCCTTCCCGCTCTCTCTCCAGCCCTCGAGGCTCCGGCATTGGCCTGAGAGGGCCCTGCCAGAGCTGCCCCTGTGCCTTCTACTAAATGAATTACAGTGGGTGAGTGCGGCAGCTGGGGACCCCTCTGTCCTGTGTCCCCTGCTTCATTTCTGTCTGACCCCGGGCTGGGGTACCGCCCCACCTGCTGGACTCCTCGCTGGCTCCCTCTGTGCTCCCTCCCTACCCTCATGCCCTTTCTGCCTGGGATGGGCCCACAGCCCCCCAGCCTTGTTCAGTCTCGGCTCCCCCCGAGAAGATGTCACCTTTGCTAACTCTCCTGCCCCCATTCTGCCCCTCTGCCGGGCGGGAATCTACTTCTCCTCGTTGGCCCTCGATCCCCTAAACCTCCTGCTTTCAGAAGGTCAGGGACACGAGGCCAGGGGAGGGGAAGGGACTCACCTGCCCGGCAGACAGGGCTCTCACCTGCCCGCTGCTGCCAGCTACACCTCCGCTGCCCAGGCCCTGGGATCAAACCCTGCCCACCAGCTTCCCTCGTCCAACCAGCTGCCACGTCCTGAAAACCAAAAGTGACCGGGATGAATGTCTGGCTCCCCCTTCTCTCCAGTACTAGCTCGGACCCATCGCCCCCAGCCGATGTTGCCCTGTCTTCAGGACCCACCAGCCCTCCCCCGAGCTAGCCTTCCACCCATCACGCCTGCCAGACTCCAGATGTCCAAGGTGCTCCTTGGCTCCCACACACTCTCCTCCAGCGCCCCATCTTCCCTGGTTGCCCCTCGGTTCCCCGCTTCCCCAGTTTCCCCCGTTACCCCCCACCCCTCCCACCCTTCCCACCCCCTCCCTCACCCTGCTCCTCGGCCCTAGCCCGGGCTTTTTCTAACTGGGGTGGCCCCGCCCAGAATTCCCGCCCCTGCTCTGCCGACCAATCAGAGCAGGGCCCTCCCGAGGGCCCCCGCGGGGCCCACCTCCGCCCTGGACAGTTCCAGCACACGTCTCTCTCACCCTGCACCCATCCTGGAATTCTCCAAAGACGGCCTCCCCACACCCCTACTTTGGCATCCGGAAACAAGGCCTGGCATCGCCCCTATCGGCTCCCTCTGGGTCAAGGTTTTCTCCTTCCAAGACTGCTGCCTCCCCTCCAGGGACCACACGCCTGCTGCTCCCTCTCCCTGTGCCCTGCGCACGATTTGCACAGGACTGGGGGCCCGCAGCGTGTCCCTGAGGACTCAGATGGCACACAGAGCCCCTTCCTGCCACCACCACAGCTCAGACCTCACGTTCACTCTAGGGGTCCCGAATGTCCACGGGGTGTGGTTCCTGGAGAGTAGGGGGTATTGAGGGGCAGACGGAAGCGCCGCAAACGCCCCCGTGGGCGCGGTGCCAGCCCCTAGCCCGATTCCCGTCCAGTTGGCTAAGCTTGTGCGTCACTGCGGCATCCACAGAACAGAGTCCCCATAGCCCGCTGCGCACCCAGGTCTCCTTTGCTGCCACTTTCCCGTCTGAAGACCGAACGCTGCCCAGCCAGGCTCATGGTTTGCGGGCGCACTCTACTGACAAGCGGCCGGAGGCCCCACAGCCTCTCCCAGGCCCCCCGCGGGCACCACTGCTGGGAATGGAGTGAAGACCAGAGAGCTTTGACTCCCCCAGCCACCCCGCTGTGGGTCGGGGGGTGACCACCTTGGCCTCTGGGGAGGGTTGTTGGAGCCCTGCGGTCCATGGGGCTCACCTGAGTCTAGAGTATCGAAGCCGTGGTGGAGGGGGAACCAGGGCCAAGGGACTCAGAGTTCGTGGTCCAACCACCCATCAGGGCCTCTGGGATGTGGAAGGGCTGGCCGTGCCTTCAGCAAACCCTCTGCTCCTACGGCCCTCCCGGGAGGGGCTGGGTGCTGGCTTGCTGAGAACTGACTGCCAGGCTCTGTCGTGGGTGAACCCCAGCTTCAGGGTATGAAAATTCTCAGACTTTTCCATGAATTTGACTCCCGTGTTAGGAGACCGAGGCAGACTCTTACATTTTGCCGAAAGTAGAGTCCAGCCTTGGTCATCTACAGACCGTAATGTGAGTCACCACTGCCGCCTCCCGGCCACTTCTGTCTCCTTAGCTGCAGTCGACTCTGTACCACTGCTGGCAGATGGTTTGGTTGGGGACGGCACCCTAAACCCTGGAGAGACTCGGGAAATACAAATGCGCCAGGCACAGCGGCTCCCCAGAGCCCTCACTCCTGCTCCAGGTGCTGCTCTGGAATTTCACTTCCAGCAATGCGCGGGCCCAGGAAACACCAGTAGGGAAATGCACCTCTCCGTGGGCAACTACTGCTGGCCGGCAGGACGATCCCTGAGTGTGGAGCAGAGAAGCACACCCACACCACAGAGCACACTAACCCCGTCAGGATCCCCGCCCTGTCCCTGGTTTGATCCCACAAACCACGGGGTGTCTGCTGCACCCGTGTTAGCGGATTATCTTTGGAAGCACAAGGACCCTGGACCCCAGAGCAAAGCAGCGGTGGCACTCCTAGCTCTTTAGCATCTGAAGCTCCTGAATTAGCATCTCAAACCTGCACTGAATGGGAATGTTAATGTCTGGCCACTAAGGGCTGAGGAGCTCAAAGTGTTCACTGGGGAAGCAGATGCTAGTTTAGTAAAAGGCTTGGATTTGGGGGTTGTCCTTAGACAGAGTTGGATACGTGCTCTGGGATGGATGTAAGATTTTGGCGGAACATGCTGTGATCATCACATGAGTAGGCATGACTTGAATCCCATGACACTGAAGGGCTCAGAGTGTGACTTGTGGCCACAGGGCTGCAGATACGGGGCTGCGGACATGGGCCGACCTGAAGACCAGGTGCAGCTCACATGAGTGTCCTATTCCCAGATGACCCCTGTGAACCCCGCGGCGCCTGGCTTGAGTGACCCGGAATGTTTCCATGGGTGAACCCCAGCTGGGGTGGGCTTGAGCTGTGATGTGTGAGCCTGCACTGCCAACACGCGGCCACTTCCGATTTCACACTTAGAACAAATTCCGCGCCATCTCACCGGTGAGACCAAAGGGGAAACCTCCGGAAATGTCGACGTGCTATGCAGGAGCCCAGGCTCTTGTGCCAGCCAAAGACCCTGCAAGAAGGGCCTCAGGCTGAGTCCAAGAGCCCCATCATCCATGGAACAGGGGCACCTCATTGTCCCCCAAGTATCTCCTCCCATCTCCACAACTTTCAACAGTGCACCCTGGGGTGAATCAGACACACAGCCTGATATGGCTCACATGTTTCCTATCCCTGATAACCCCCGTGAACCCTGCGACGCCTGCCTTGGGTGACCCGGGACATTTCCGCGGGCGAACCCTGGCTGGGGTGGGCTTGCACTGTGATGTGTGAGCCTGCACTGCCGCCGCGCGGCGGATTCCACACTTACAACCAATTCTGCGCCATCAGAGCGGTGAGATCGAAGGGGGAGCCTCTAGAAATGCCCACGTGCTACACAGGAGCCCCCAGGCACTTGTGCCTGCCAAAGACCCTGCGAGAAGGGCCTCAGGCTGAGTCCGAGAGCTCCATCATCCACGGAACAGGGGCACCTCATTGTCCCCCAAGTATCTCCTCCCATCTCCACAACCTTCAACAGTGTACCTTGCGGTAAATCAGACGCACAGCGCAATATGGCTCACATGAGTTTCCTATCCCTGACAATCCCCGTGAACCCTGCGACATCTGCCTTGGGTGACCCGGGACATTTCCGCGGGCGAACCTTGGCTGGGGTGGGCTTGCACTGTGATGTCTGAGCCTGCACTGCCGCCGCGCGGCCAATTCCACACTTACAACCAATTCCGCGCCATCAGAGCGGTGAGACCGGAGGGGGAACCTCTGGAAATGCCCACGTGCTACACAGGAGCCCCCTGGCTCTTGTGCCTGCCACGGACCCTGCGAGAAGGGTCTCAGGCTGAGTCTGAGAGTCCCATCATCCATGGAACAGGGGCACCTCATTGTCCCCCAAGTATCTCCTCCCATCTCCCCAACCTTCAACGGTGCACCCTGGGGTGAATCAGACACACAGCCCGACATGGCTCACATGAGTGTCCTATCCCTGATGGCCCTTATGAAACCTGCGACGCCTGCCTTGAGTGACCCGGGACATTTCCGCGGGCGAACCCTGGCTGGGGTGGGCTTGCACTGTGATGTGTGAGCCTGCACTGCCGCCGCGCGGCCAATTCCACGCTTACAACCAATTCCGCGCCATCAGGGCGGTGAGACCGAAGGGGGAGCCTCTGGAAATGCCCATGTGCTACACAGGAACCCCCAGGCCCTTGTGCCTGCCAAAGACCCTGCGAGAAGGGTCTCAGGCTGAGGCCGAGATCCCCATAATCCAAAAAATGGGGATGCTTCACTGCGCCCCAAATATTTCCTCCTATCTCCCCAGCCTTCAACAGTGCACCCTGGGGTGAATAGGACATGTAGCCCGATGTGGCTCACGCAAGGGTCCTATCCCTGATGACCCTTAGGAACCAATGCGGTTCCTGGCCTGGGTGACCCGGGACGTTTCTGCAGGTGAACCCCAGGCAGCCGGGCTCAGGCTGTGATGCATGAGCCTGCCCTATGCCACGTGGCCACTTGTTTCCATACCTTCAACTGATTCCACGGTCTCTGGGCAGCGAGACTCCAGAAACACTGGGGCGCTATGCTTGGCAGGCTCCCACGATCCCTGCTCCTGCTGAAGGCCTTGTGGGAAACGATTCCCTCTGGAGCATGTGCTTGAGTCCCTGGGTCCCAGTGATGACCACCTCAGAACACAGGGATCCCTCATTTCTGACGTCTCTGCTCTCCTGTCCCAACTTCAATCCCTGACTCAGCAGATACGGCGCTGTGGTCCTCTGGTGAGGTCCTTGACTCTGATTCCAGCAGCACACTGGCTCCAGGGCAAAGCACAGGTGAGCCTCTGGAACATGCACCGTCAGGCTCACATGAGCATAAGTTGGCCAGGTGTAAAGATTCCACAGCAGGCAATTGAGCACAGGCAGGCAATTGGGCACAGACCGGGCAGCGCGCAAACCCCACCAATCACCATCCTTTACCGATTCCACAAACAGCACGGTGCCGGCTGCACCCAAGTTAGTAGATTGTCTCCGGCAACGCCAGGCCCCTGAAACTCAGAACAAAGCAGCAGTGGCACTCCCAGCTCTTTAGCATCTTAAGCTCCCGAATTAGCATCTCAAACCTGCATTGAATGGGAATGTCAATGTCTGGCCCCTTAGGGCTAAGGAGCTCCAAGTGTTCACTGGGGAGGCAATTGTCAGTTCAGTGAAAGGCTCAGGATTTGGGGGCTGTCCTTAGTCGGATCTATGCTCTGGGGTGGATGTAGAAAGTGTAAGATTTTGTTCGGAACACGCTATGATCATCACTCAGGGAGGCATGACTTGAGTCCCTGGCCTTGACACTGAAGGCCTCTGAATGTGACCTGTGCCCACAGGGCTGTGGATATGGTCTGACCTGAAGACTGGGTGCAGCTCACATGAGTGTCCTGTTCCCAGATGACCCCCATGAACCCTGTGGTGCCCGGCTTGGGTGACCTGGGATGCTTCCGTGGGTGAACCCCAGCCAGGGCATGCTAGGTCTACGATGAGTGAGCCTGCACTGCCGCCGCACAGCCAGTTGATTCCACACATAGAACCAATTCCGTGCCATCAGGGTGGTGAGAGCAAAGGGGAAGCATCCAGAAATGCCCACGTGCTACACAAGAGCCCCAGTCTCTTATGCTGGCCAAAGATCCTGTGGGAAGGGCCTCATACTGAGGCCGAGAGCCCCATCATCCATGGAACAGGGACACCTCATTGTTCCCCAAGTATCTCCTTCCGTCTCCCCAACCTTCAACAGTGCATCCTGAGGTGAATCAGACATGCAGCCTGATGTGGCACGTGAGTGTCTTACCCCTGACGACCCCCGTGAACCCTGCGATACATGGCTCAGGTGACCCGGGACATTTCCACGGGCGAACCCCAGCTGGGGTGGGCTTGCGCTGTGATGTGTGAGCCTGCACTGCCGCCACGCGGCCACTTCAGATTCCACACCGAAAGCCAATTCCTCATCATCCACGCGGTGAGACCGAAGGGAAAGCCTCCAGAAATACCCATGTGCTACGCAAGGCAGCCCCCCCAGGCTCTTGTGCCTGCCAAAGACCCTGTGGAAAGGATCTCGCGCTGAGGCGGAGATCCACATCATCCGTGGAACAGGGACACCTCATTGTTCCCCAAGTATCTCCTCCCATCTCCCCAACCTTTAACAGTGCACCCTGGGATGAATCAGACACGCAGCCCCATGTGGCTTGCTTGAGTGTCCTATCTCTGATGACCCTTGGGAACCAATGTGACACCTGGCCTGGGTGACCCGGGATATTTCCGCGGGCGAACCCCAGCCGGGGCGTGCTCGCGCTGTGATGTCTGAGCCTGCACTGCCGCCTCGCGGCCACTTCCGATTCCACACCTACAGCCAGTTCTGTGCCATCAGGGCAGCAAGACTGGCCGCCCTTGGTGAGGTCGGCATCCAGGACTGAACGGGAAGACTCTAGATACCCGTGCCCTATGCTCGGCAGGCTCCCTGTATCCCTGTTCCTGCTCCAGGCACTATGGTAAGGGTCTCCCTCTGGACCTTGGGCTCCAGTTCTTTGGAGTCCAAGTCATGACCGCTCCAGAACGTAGAGATTCTTCTTTGCCTCCAACTATCCAGTGTCCTACGTGCTATGAGAGCTGTCATCAGTGGTGTCCCTGGGACTAGGCTCCCAGCCGAGCATGTGCTCCCGGACAGCCCAGGGCTCTCCCATTGGGAAATGCCCCTCTGGTAAACATCAGCCACAGCGCCATAATGCTTGGTCCTCCTGGTGAAACTGCCTTTGCAGAAAATGATGACAGTGAGAGACCTGATGTCACTAACTCCATCTTGCCTCCTGTTCATTCCTCGGTGCCAGCTGGACTATCTTTGGGAGGAACTTAGTTTATCGTTTAACTTTGAAACAAAGACAGTAACAGCCTTTCCTAGGACAAACCCTCTTCCTGCCTGAGGACTAGACTTTCAGAACTAAATTAGCCACAAGATTAGAAATTATGCTTTAGGAGTCATGGAGTCACACATCTGGAGGCTGCAGGATTCTGAACCTCCTCAGATTGCTCCTGGGTTCACATCACTATTGTAAAATCTAAGATCAGTAATTGAGATAGTTTTGCAGACCCTCTACTGGTGGGATCAGCTGGCCCCACCCAGACTGATAATCTGGCTCATCTGGTCTTGTGGCCCCCACCCAGGAACTGACTCAGCACAAGAAGACAGCTTCAACTCCTCATGATTTCATCTCTGACCCAACCAATCAGCACTCCCAACTCACTGGCCCCCTACCCACCAAATGATCCTGGAAAACATTGATCCCCATTGGGAGGTCGAGGTGGGCAGTTCCTGAGGTCAGGAGATCGAGACCATCCTGGCTTAACATAGTGAAACCCCATCTCTACTGAAACTACAAAAAATTAGGCAGTCATGGTGGGACATGCCTGTAATCCCAGCTACTTGGGAGGCTGAGGCAGGAGAATTGCTTGAACTTGGGAGGCAGAGGTTGCAGTGAGCCAAGAACACACCACTGCACTCCAGCCTGGGCAACAGAACCAGACTCTGTCTCAAAAACAAAACAAAACAAAACAAAACAAAACAAAACAAAACTTTGATCCCCCAATTTCCTGGGAGACTGATCTGAATAATAATAAAACTCTAGTCTCCTGCACAGCCCACTCTGTGAATTAAGCTTTATTGCGATTTCCCTGTCGTGATGAATCAGCTCTGTCTGGACAGGCATCAGGGAGAAATTGTTGGGTGGCTAAGCTGGTATTGACACAGCTCTCCGGGGCAGTGATGGACGTCTCTTCTGTTCACTGATTGCTGGAGAAGATTTGGGAGATTTTGCCTGGGAACAGGCAGACACCTGGGGCTATTTGCTTTCAAATGGGGCATTTGCATGTGTATAAGGCAGACCAGGAGCTGCAGGGGTTCTGCTTCCAGAGCACCTGCTGAGAGTGATCTCGCCAGTGAAGGGACTGCCAGGGGGACAGCAGCACAGGGGACCTAACTTCGAGGACTACTGGGGTCAGATGTGGTCTGTACTGGCTGCGGTAAAGGTGAGTGCCTGGATGCTATGATCCACGCATAGGGCAGCGCCAAAGTGAAAGTGGCCCCAGCCCCAGCCAAGGTGCCCAGAGCACTTGGGTGGGGATGTGGGCACAGTGTTGTCACCTGGAAGCAGATGTGGGCACAGTGATGTCACTTGGACAGGGATGTGGGCATAGCGTATCTCCTGGATGGAATGTGGGCACAATAATGTCACGTGACAGGTATATAACCACAGTGCTGTCCCCTGGATGGGGATGTGGGCACCTGCTGTCATCCAGATAGAGACATGAGCACAGTGTGTCAACTAAATAGGGACATGGGCACCATATGTCACCTGGAGAGGGACATGGACACAGTGTGTCACCTGGAGAGGAACATGGGCACAGTTGTCACCTGGATAGGGACATGGACACAATGTTGTCACCTGGATAGGGACATGCACACAGTGTGTCACCTGGATAGGAATGTGGGCACAGTTGTCACCTGGATAGGGACATGGGCACAGTGTGTCACCTGGATAGGAATGTGGGCACAGTTGTCACCTGGATAGGGACATGGACACAGTGCTGTCACCTGGATAGGAATGTGGGCACAGTGTGTCACCTGAATAGGGAGGTGGGCACAGTGTGTCACCTGAATAGGGAGGTTGGCACCATGCGTCACCTGGATAGGGACGTGGGCACAGTGTGTCACCTGAATAGGGAGGTGGGCACAGTGTGTCACCTGGATAGGGAGGTTGGCACCATGCGTCACCTGGATAGGGACGTGGGCACAGTGTGTCACCTGAATAGGGAGGTGGGCACAGTGTGTCACCTGGATAGGGATGTGGGCACAGTGTGTCACCTGGATAGGGACGTGGGCACAGTGTGTCACCTGGATAGGGACGTGGGCACAGTGTGTCACCTGAATAGGGAGGTGGGCACAGTGTGTCACTGGATGGGACCTGGACACAGTGCTGACATCTGGATAGGAACATGGGTACAGTGTGTCACTGGACAGGGACATGGCACAGCATGTCACCTGACAGAGGGGCCTTCCCTTCTCTCTCCCCTGTGGCTGGGGCCTCCCCAGATGCAAGGATGGGATAGCCCACGTGGGCTTTGAGCCAGTTTCCTGAGGCTGCCATAAGGAAGTCCCCGAAACTGGGCTGATTGGAGCAAGCCCATGGAACGTGGTTTCCCTGTTTCTATGCTAGAGGCCAGAGCCTGGGGTCGTCAGGGCCGGTTCCTTTGTCGGGCTCTAAGGGAGAATCTGGTGCTGCCTGACTTTCCCGGGTTCCCCAGCTCCCGTACCTGTGGCCACGCCCGTCCTCCAGGACGCTCCCGCCCTGCGCCTTCAGGCAGCCTTGCTCTGGCACCTCTCCTCTTCCTGTGAGGACACCACGGCCTTGGATCAGGGCCCCGCCCTGCTGCATCTTATCGATTGCTTCGAGAACAATCCTATTTCCAAATGAGGTTGTGCTGGGATGCCGGTGGTCAGGGCTTCGACTTGTCTTTCCTGGAGAGGCACTAAACAGACTCCATGAGGAAGTGGAGGCCGGAGCAGTGAGCTGGGAGGAGGCTGGACCCTGACCCTGGGCACTGGCGATCTTCACCCTCATGACCCTCTGACAGAGAAGAGCCAGCTCAGGGCCCCTTCAGGACTGCACTGGGCTTTCCTGGCTGTGGCAGCTACACCCCCCTCTCCTGTGCCCACCACTCCAGAGCTGGTGTGTGGGCTCATGCTGGTAGCTGAGTCCTGTTAGAGGGGCAGCCAAGGGAGAGGCACCTGAGACAAGGACACAAGAGTGGACACAGGCCCGTCCTCCTGAGGTGAGCAGTAGTGAGCACAGTCCCAGAGGACTGTCCGTATGGGAAGAGGAGAGGAGCACGCAGACACACATGGAGAAGGACGTGTCTATAAGCCTCGGGGGCTTATATATCAGCAGCCCTAATCCCGGACTCCAGCCTCCAGGACTGGGAGAGGACACATTTCCCTCATTTCAACCTCCCTGTCTGTAGCGCTTTGTGGCAGCAGCCCTGGCAGACTCACCTGCTGCAGTGTGACCGGTGGGTGGAAGTGTGACTGGTTTGCAGCTGCAGAGGGTGCTGGCTGGGTGCTGCTGCTACTGCGCATACCTGATGTCACTGTCCCCGGCTCAGCCTGCTGATCCCGGGCCCCATGCCTGCAGCACCTCTGAGTCCTGGGCCAGGGGTGTCTGTGGCCCCTGGTGAGGGGTGCTTGCCCCTCGGGGTGTCCCCTGGTGAGGGGTGCTTGCTCCTCCAGGGTCCCCTGTGTTTTCGGATTGGAGGAGTTTGATTCCGGGGGCTGCCGTAACAAAGTGATCACAGACTGGGTGGCTGTCACCATAGGAACAGACTTTCCATAGCTCTGGAGCCCAGAGTTTCGCCGTCTAGGGAAGGGCAGGGCCATGCTCTTTCCCAGGGCTCTAACATGGCCCCTCCTTGCCCCTTCCGGCTTGCGGGGGCTCCAGGCGTCCCGTGGTGTGAGGCCTCGTCACTCCCATTTCTGCCTCTGTCTGCACTTGGTCTCCTCCACTGCGACTGTGTCTCTGCGTGCAAAAGTCCCTCTCATTATCAGGACAAGACTCATTAGATGGACGCCCGTCCGCAGCCTCAATTCAGGGTGACTCTGTCTTTATCTGGTTGCATCTGCAAAAATTCACGTCCATGCATTCGCAGGTCCTGGGTGGACATGAATTTCCAGGGAACATTATTCAGTGTGGTATGTTGAGTTTCCAGGGAACGCTATTCAATGCGGTACAAGTGGACTATCCACGTGGCTTCACGTGTGTCCTCACAAAGCCCAGGTGGCCCTTGCCCCCCCTACTTCTTGCCCATCTTCTTTCCTGACTGGCTGTCCTGCTGGCTTCAGGCCTAGCCCAGAGCCAGGCAGTAGCATCTCGCAGATGGCCGGGCGCTCCATCTCAGCAGAAGGTCGGATTCCTTCCAGCAAAGCCCCTGCCCTCTGACCGTGAGGAGATGCGGCTTCTCTGATTGAATCCTGACGGAGACGCTTCATCTCAGGAATCACAAAATGGAGCAAAATCAGATGTTCAGCCAAGGAGGAAATGAAGTGAAAGGTCTCGGGGCTGACGGTTTGACGCCAAACTCTGTCTGCTTCCCTCTCTCTGACATTGGTGCACTGACTCAGCCTCGGCCCCGGTGGCACCCCTGCAGGCCGCTTTCGGGGACGCCGAAACTGTCTTTTCCCCATTCCATGTTCCTTTTGCAAGGAAGCTTCATCCCTGCTCACATCAGGAGGATGGATCTGTTTCCACTCCCCTGAAATCTGGATGCTTTTGGCCAATAAAATGCAGCGGGCATTGCTCTGGGACCCCGCAGCTGACCGGTAAGAAGCCTTAGGGCTTTTTCCCCATGAAAAGTTGTGTATGACATCCCACTGTCATGAGACTGCCATGCTGTGAGGAAGCCCAAGCTAGCCGTGTGGAGAGAGGCCCCAGAGTGCGCACCAGAGTGCCAGATTCAGAGGGCAAGGCCATGTGGACCAACCAGCCGAGCCCAGCTTCCTGCAGACGGCAGCCACACGGCGGAGCCTGGCCCGTCACCCACGGGCAGAAGATCCACCCGGCTAAGGTGGGCCCTGCCTCCTGGATGGCAGAACTGGAAAGCTCATGTCACAGCTCATCTCAGTCACCCGGCCTGGGAGTGCTCATGTAGCAAGGCCTGATGAGAAGCCCAGGCCCCTCCGCTTCTCCAAGCCTCACTCTTCCACTCCAGGGAGTTCCCCTGGGACTCAGCAGCGCCAGGCAAGCCCAAGCCGCCATCCACACAACTCCTCACCCACAGGCAGGCCCAGGGAAGGGAAGCGGGGTTGAGCTTCCCCTCCAGGGGAGGTAGAAGGGAGACGGTCCTACAAACCTTCACCTGGGGAAATTCAGGTGTGGAGGTTTAGTGAGGCCGGTCCTGGGTGTCACCCACGCTGAGGACGTTGTGCATGGTGTGGGGCTGGGCCTGCTGTGGGGTTTTCCGTCTGGCCTGAGCTCCTGGTGTAGGGTGCAGCCTGGTGAGCTCTTAGCTGCTGAGTTCAGAGTTGGAAATGGGCAGGGTGAGGCAGCCTGCCGTGGTAGGCCCTGGAATGCACACGTGGGAGGTCCTGGGGGTCCCTGCCGGGCAGCTCGGGCTCATCCTTGTACCTGCTGGTACCCGGCTGTGCCCGCCTCTGCCCCTGGACCTCTGGGTGTGTCTGAGGGCCTTGGCCTGTCTTCAGAGGCCTGGAGTTTTCATGGGGCCGGTCCTGGCTGTCACCCATGTTGAGGGCGACGTGCTTGTGGTCTTGGCAGTACACAGCTGGCTCCTGGCCTCTCTGCTGCTGACCCCGAGCCCTCCTCCCCCACCTCTGATGACCCCACAGCCCTCCTCCCCTCCTGGTCCCTGCTGGCCTCCCCACCAGCACATCTTGCCATCCAGGGCCTGTGGGTCCATCTATTCCTTTGGGGTGAGGACGGTCACTGTCTCCCACACACCCTGAGTTCTCACTCAGGGGCTCCAGTGGTTTGTGAGGTGTCTGTTGGGCTGGACACAGTTCCTGTTTCCAAGCTGGGAACGCAGGGCCCCTCTGGGCCTCTGTACCCCCCCATCCCGCCCCGCCTTGTTCTCTGCCTGCTGCTCTCTTCTTTTCGGAATCTCTCTCTCTCTCTCCCTCTCTCGTTCTCTGTATTAACAGTTCTTAGAGACTCTCTTCAGGGGACTTCTCCTCCTCCTGACTCTGCAGTCCTGTGTCTCCCCAGCTTCCTGCCCCTGCTTCCTTAGGCTCATGCTGATATCAGCCAGGTGGCCCCAGCACACCCTGCCCCGTCTCCAGGGCTCGCTTCTGGCTTTTCCCAAAACGCTCACAGTCCTCCAGAGCCAGACCCTGAAGACAAGCTGTCTTCAGGGACTTTTCCTCCCGCGCGTAGACAGGCCCCAGCCAGGTTGGTCTGGGCCATCTTCTTCCCCGGGACCCCCATCCTCCACCCACAGGAGCTGCCAATGCCGGTGGGATCTGAGCCAGAAGGCTGGAGACCTCTCCCGGTAGGAAACGTGGTCGGCCCTCCTCTTCCTCAACAGGCTCCTCGGGGTGGTGAGTGGAGGGGTGTGGACAGACGGGACAAATGACCCAGGCTTTGTCTGGGGCTGACAAAGTTCCCAGAGAATAGGCACCACGTGGGAGGGGTGTACATGTCGGAGTGGCTGTGTGGGGACCAGGGCCGGGACCTGGGCAGGGCGTGCCCACAGAGAAGGGCACCTCGCTCCCTGCTTGGCGAGGAAGGGCTATGTGAACCAGGTGGGGTTTTAAGCCCCTGGCCCCGGGTCTAGTTCAGAGCAGGAGCCTGAGATACTTGTTGGAAGAAGGAAAGGTTCAGTGGAGAAAGGAGGGTGTGGCCTGGGCTTTTCACGGCACAGAGGAGGCCTTCCTGGTCCTGATTCAAGAGGGAGAGAGGGCCTCCTTCCTCCCTCCACGCCAATGGTTCCTGGCCCCTTCCAGAATCATCTGGAAGCTAATCCTTTAAAAAACAAATATTTCAGACATCTCAGCAACACAGGCCCTCCAAGTGGGAGCCTGGGCAGATGGGCCGGGGCCTGGACACTCTCCCACACCCCCAGACGCTGGAGCCCACCAAACAGCCCAGCAACGTCCATGGGGGATACAGAGCTCAGCCAGGAAAGTGTCAGAGCCGCCGGCCACCTGCCTGGGCCCCCCGCTCCTGGGCCCTGTCCATTCCCCTTGGCAGCTCGAGCCACGGACAGGACATTCCTGAAGGCTGAGGCTGCACATCGGGGGGTTTGGGGCTGGAAAGGCTGGGACAAAGTCCACAGTCCCCCGCGGCTGGGCCGTGCGGCCGCCTTCCCTGACTCCCTCCCCTGCACACCTTCCTGAGTGGGGCTGGCTGGGAAATGGGGCGCTTGTTCCTGTTGCCCTTCCTGCTCTCTGTGCTGGGCTGCCCATCTGGTCTTTACCACTATAGGACCCCTTCTGCCCAATGTCTACTGTGCACAGGCTCAGACTGGCCACCGAGGCTGCCCTCGGGGCTCTGGGGGCTCATCCACACGGCCCCCTGTGGTGGGGTTGCCTCCTGTGGGCCAGGCTCTGGGGACAGTCTGCAATTGGCACCTCACTTGCTCCCGGTGGAGCCCTTTCTCCCACCCAGCCCAGAAAAAATCCCTGACCACAGAGACTCTGTCTCCTTTGGACGTCTTCTGTCCCCAGCAGCAAAGCGGGGCCCTGTCCTGGAACACAGAGCCCACGGGGCACATGGTGATGGGCCGAGAGCACTCATGAGCCCCAAGACAGGTGACCTGGCAGCCGAGAGCCACGCTCCTCTGGGCCTTCCCCCTCCCACCAGCCTGCCTGGACAGGCCATCGTCACAGGGACAGGAGAAGGGCTGGCAGAGAGACCAGGATGAGGGTTTGGAGGTGGGAGGTGGGCACTGCCACCAGGGCCACTGGGGCCAGCGAGGGCCACTCTCTAAGCACGTGTCCTTCGCCCTGTGCCTGGAGCCCACCCCACTCATTGGGAGCAGAAGCGATTGCATTGTTCTTAGGTCTCATCCATAACAGTCTCCAGAAGGATCCTCCACCTACTCTTCCTGCTACTCCCAGCAGCTTCAGGAGTGCAGAGCCACAAGGCCGCAGAAACCAGGGTTCCCTGTCACCTGGAAGAGACCCGGCCTGCGCCACACTTGGACAACCCTCCCAGAACAGTGGCTGTGCAGAGACACACACACAGCGGTTGTGCCCCATCATCTCAGGGCGAGTGCCATCAGGGAGGACCACACAGGGGCAGGAGGGCAGGGGGCACCTCTCCACACCCAGCGCCAGCCCTGTCCTGACACACGTGCTGCCTCGGGGACAAATCATTTCCTCTCTCCCAGCCCTAGTGTCTCAGTCCATAAATAGGGGTGCGGCAGGGCCACGTGTAAGCGCTTTTCCACTGCTGAGCACTGCGGGCGCATGCGGCGTGCACAGGGGCGTCTTCAGATGAAACCTAGGGAGAGTCCCCTCTGTGTAGATGGGGCGTGGCAGGTGCCGGGCTGGCAGAGTGAGGGCAGCTGTGGGGAGGACCCTGAGTGCAGAGGGTCCCAGCCTTTGTGGCCCTGTTGATCTGGGGAGGA